TTGAAGAGCTCCTTATGCTAAAGGCACCTTCACAGTGGGACAGGCCTGAAAATGGAGACCCATCAAACTCATTCTTGATAGATTGTTCAAAGCTGTATTCAGTATTCAAGGCGGAAAGTCAAATTTTAGGAAATATGTTAACAAAATGGCAGCTCAGCAACCTTCAGCGTGTTAAATATCAATACAGTCTACAGTAGGGGTGAGAGTATTGGCATGGGTGTCACGATACAATATTATCACTATATTGCAATATCACCATATATCATGATATTTTTCCTGATATCAAAATTAAATGTATAGATAAAAAAGCAACCTCTGTAAATGTTCATCAGATTATTTTGATCTTTTAGTTATTTTGGTATCCATGTTGATTAGGGTTTGTGTCAGTTAACGCCTTCCACTGTGACTGCCTCAACTACAGATATGGCTCCACTGCACTACCAGAATGGCGGTGCAGAGGTAGCCCATTTTCCTTTAGTTTTAGGGAAAAATGTTTTGTTTAAAAAAATCAATATGAGGGATTAAAAATCACGATATATTGACAGAACGATTTTCTTCCCCACTCTTAGTCTACAGCATGAGACACCAATTTAAAAATCAGGGAGGTCCGAATAAAGAAAATCAACAACCAGTAAAGGTCCAGAGACATTTTTAATTATAATCGGTTACTTAAAACAGAATTTAACACTGAAATTAAATGAGTTTTTTATGTATCCATGTTATAAACTGACCTTTTAAATAAAAAAAATAAATAAAATAACAAAACTTTTTTCCATTTTACAACCTAAAGTGTTTTTTTTTTAAGTAGAGAACAATAATCGTTCAGTTTGTTATATAGACAATTTCCTGATTGACAGATTTTATAAAACATCTGAACTGACCATTTATTTTATTTCTGTCTTTTTTATGGCTTAATAAGGGAAGCAAGGCTTTAAAGCTGGTTTGAATGGTGACAAAGCAATTCTAAAGCACATATAAAAGGTGCTATTTTTGATTATGTTCATGGTGGAGAATCCTGCTTCACAGCAGCACGTTACTCAAAATGTGCAGGGTCACCTTTGAGCACGCCATTTCACTTTCTGTCACCAGTTCACCGCAGTTCTTCCAGCAGTCCACACTTTCTTTCACTCTTTCTCATCATCTTCTCCTTCTTTCCCATCGCCCGGCTTGCCACAGGTTTGCCTGCTGTGTCTTAAAGTAGCAGCAGCAGCAACCCTGACCGACACAGCTCATTGGCTAATTGGCATCACATGCAGCCTGGTCCCGGAGGGCTTTACCGTACAAACAGGAGAAGCGGCGCAAGTGAAATTAGACACTGCAGTTTATTTATAAATGTTTTAAATCAGGTTGGGTCCAGATTAGCCAGCAGGTGGGTGCAGATCCAGACCGAGGTCCACTAATCCGTGAGCTCTGGTCTAAAGGGTAAGAATTGTGAATTGCGGAGTCATGTTCCATCTTTGCACGCTCAAAATGCTCTCTGCAACTCATTGCAAGCAAGAGGAATTGTCGCGAGTTTTGTGAATTCACATAGTCCCGAAAACACATCTCGCCAGAGGTCAATAGATGGATTAGCCTCGATACAGAAATGCTTTGCACCGACCACATTCCGAAACAACAGGCCTAAACAAACAGGGCTGCGTTGGTGATACAAGTTGTAGACTCTAATATTCTGTCTGTTTTACCAGGAACAGCTTCTATTTCTTTTCTTGAAAAAAAGAGCAAAAGGACACTATTTGTGCCTTTGTGGTTAGGAAAGATGCATGTCCCGCTGCAGCAAGCAAGGATTTGAAACATCCAGGTAGCCCTCATTGTCTAGACAGAAACAGTGTGGGACACAAACCAAAAACCGGTAGGATACACTATTGCTGACTCAGCAGTAGTCTAGGCAAATCATATGCAGAGGCTACCATCCACCAACTGATGAAAAAAAGGCCACTTCCTAAAAACTCTGCCTTCGGGTGATAAATGTGGCCGGCTAATTCAGTCCTCTAAACCAGAGTCTAGCGCTGAGGCACATTGGTGCAAACATTGTATTTCACTGGGGGAGAGTGGCGACCTAGTGGTTAGGGAATAGAGCTTGGAATCCTGAGGTTCTGAGTTCGAGCCCCACTCCCACAGACTGCCACTCTGGGTCTCTGAGCAAAGACCCTTAACCCCACCCTGCTCCCCAGGCTTCACACAATGGGATGGATTAAATGCAGAGGTAAATTTCCCCAATGTAAGATCAATAAAGTTCAATTATTATTATCTCAATGTTTGGTCTTTTAAAATAATGTGCAGAATAGAAACATGCTGCCACCATTGCAGAGCTTGCTCATACTTGGCAGCAGCATGCAAAAGCATCTGCAGCAAAGAGCGAGAATGAAAGTAGACTGAGCCGACTGGTCCAACGCTGCACGCTCCTTCATTAGGATCATCTGGGATGGATTGGTAAAGCCTCCCATCTGTCCTGATTCAGTGATACCATCAGTACCACAGGGACAAGCTGGTGATGACCTGTGAATCTTCCCAGCGTGTTGAAGCCTCCGTGTCCCAAGTTATTCCAAAGTTCCTCGGATACTAGAACATTGGATCTTTTAGACCTGCGGTCAGAAAACTTTCTATCCAAAAACATGGAGACCCTGTGGCCCCTGATGCAAAAAACGACCTTTCCACACCTGGATTTGATCTGGAAGCTGATTAATAATATCAAATAATTACACAGGGCTCAAAAAATAGAAACACTGACTCTGAAATAAGAGTTTGATGCACCTAGAAATTATTTTTAGAGGATTCCAGCACATCCCTGGAACCCCCTCTTTATGTGGGGCTGTGCAGAAACTTTTGGATCCAGCTGCAGGTCAGCTGGGGTTAATGACACAGCAGAAAGAAAGCTTCCTCCTCCCCAGCACCTGCTCTCAGTTTCATCCTATTATTTATCAGCGAGAGACACAAAAACATTCAGATGTGTTGGAATAAAGGAGACTATTGTTGACTTTTATCGCTGTAATGACTCATTCAAACGCAGAAAGTTCAGTTCGGTGTTTCATCGACAGATGAGCTGCCTGAGCGGATCGGGTCAGCTAAACGAGGTAAAATCAGTGCTAACATCAGTAACCGGATCCTCCTTTCTCTCCACCTGCTGTTACTGCTCCTGTCATGGAGCAGAGGCCCGCGGCTCCTACAAACACCCCCGATAATTAGAATATACATACGTTTAACTTTAAAACAACACGAGGAAACAACAGATGGGTTTATATCACAGCTTTCTCGATTAAAAACAAGCTGCCTTCAATTTGTTTACGTATTATTTTCAGGCAGCCAGAGAGCCGCGGCTAAGTTATGCTAACTTGCCGAATAAGCTAACAATTACCTTGACTGGCTGGGTCCATGACGTTACTGTAACGGAGCCTGTGATTCTCGGATCAATTCGCCTTGAATCGACGGTGGAACAGCGGCTCGGTGTGTGGAAATCTCCCCGAGCTGAGCGACCAACTTCCACGTAGAGAAAGACGTCGATGGGAACTGCCAGCAGACTCAAAACAGCCCCAGCCCACAGCCAGCTCAGCCTTAACAACTTTCTGTGAAGCTAGCGAAGGTTTCAGACCCACATCCGGTGACATAATTTCAAAATAAAAGCGTTTGTTTTGAAGCTACGTGGACAGTGGTCTGCAGTCTTTACAGCCTCTTAGATTTGTGTCGGTTTATAAATTAAAAAATTATAAATTAAAAAATTATAAATTAGCAAAATTTATGGTGTTTTTTTCCCTAGATTTCAATATAGTCAATTTACAGGCATCATTTAATCTATGGAAAACATAAAATAAAACTGGAGGTTTTTAAACTATATAAAAAAATAAATATGCTGATGAAGATTGTCAGTCATCCAGGTCATAGTCATTCCGTAAAAGTTTAAAAACAATCCACTGGACTTGGTTTCCAAGGTTTGAAGACGTTTCGCTTCCCCTCCAGGAATTGAGAAAGCTTCCTGGAGGGGAAGCGAAACGTCTTCAAACCTTGGAAACCAAGTCCAGTGGATTGTTTTTAAACTTTTACGGAACAAAAATAAATACTTAGACAACTTTATTGTCATTTTGTATACACACAGTGTATAGAAAACTATCATTTCAGATAGTGAATGATCAGCAGCTTAGCAGAGAAATGAACATTTCCATTTCATAAAGTGCAGCGGCGTACAAATGTAAACGGAGTGGAAGAAAAAACCTGGTGCAAAAGGCAACGATATGAAAGTCCAGAGCATTACAAGACAAATATATAGGTTGCAAATATGCAGTGTTTTGGTTGTGTTATCAGTGTGATGCAGGGTCTGTGACTTGATTTTAAGTCTTTAAAAGTTCAGCAGTCTGATGGCAGTGGAGGAAAAAGCTGTTGCAGAATCTGCTGGATGGTCTCTATAGTGCTTCTGTAGAATGTTATAAATATTGTGCATAGAAAGCATTAAAAAAGCTTTTGGAACAGCAGCTAAAGTTAGCATGTTTCAATTTTGTCTACAATTTTCTCTTAGATCTTCTTTTACTCAAGAAGATCTAAAGAGCCACAAGCAGCCCTGAGTGTTGTAGACACTTCAACTAGGGTCTCTGAATTCAGTTTTGCCTGCTGCTCTAGAGCAAGTGATCTTAAACTATGTCATTTATTTTCCCCAGCTTCATGCCACCAAAAACCCAGCAATAACACAACCAAACAACTCAATAAGGGAGATCTGATCACTGATGGCGGCACTGCAAGGCGATCCTGCAAAGATAAGAGGTATAATGGTGTATTAATGGTGTAACTTTAACTCGAGGTATGAGCAGAGAGAAATACAGCGTGTCTGACTCTGCCTACGATTTTAAACCACCATTCATTTTATTTAATTGTAACGCCTGTTGTTTTTACATTGTAATGCTTTTATTTTGAAAGCCGACCATCCAAACCAGAAGTAACATCCTCCAACTGGAAACTCAGGCATATTTCTGAAACTTTGTGTTTTTCTGTGGAAAAGTAACATAAAAAAAGCATGTTTTAATTGATTTTTATTGTTTCTGAGATTACAAACCTGAAATCTACAAAAATCATGCTTTACATGATCAAGTCTCCATCCAGAGTCCAGTTTATAACAGTAAGAAGCAAATCCAGTGTCTCATTTTGAGCTTCTTGGCAAACTTGTAAAATAGCCCAAAAATATCTTCAATCATAACTTAACCAAAGGAGGTAAAAGCTTCAGTTTGTACCAAAAGGGGATCAATCAGCAGTTTGCAGCCAATGAAATCCGCTCTCATCATCTGTTCAGTCAAGTTTCCTGTGATATTTGAGGTTTTGGCTTCTGTAGCATTTTATTTTTGTATAAAATTGACAGTAAAAAACCGGAATAATCATTTAAAATCATCCTCAGTGCAGTTGAACAACCAACATATTATTAAATATTAGTAAAGAAAAGCAGACTCCTTGTTTTCCTCCTGCTACTTGTTGTTGTTGTCCTCTGGGTCAGCCAAATGATGCAGAAGCTGGATCCTAAAGGAACTTAGCTCAGGACTGAGAGGCAGGCTGATGACCAACCCAAGAAAAGTGGGTTCTGTTGTCCTTTGTCCTCTGAAGGAGAATGCAGATAACTAAAGTTAATTCATTACATACACACAGAACATCTCATCCCTTTGTAATAATACATTTAAAATGCTGCTGAGCCAGAACTGATACAAGCAATTAAGACATTAACATTAATTAATAATATTTTAAATAATAGACTTAGTCTGACTTAGGATTTTAATATTTCAAACCTCAGGAATCTGTATCAACAGCTGTGGTTCTTTAAAAATAAAAGGTACCCGAAGCTGTAGTTACAAAATATAACCATAAGGTGTCAGTCAAAGGCAACAAAAAACAACTTTGGCTGAACAGCTATATGATATGTGTTGATTCATATCTGACCAGCATGGTGGTGCTGATCCATGGATCTTTCTCTCCTCTGGTTTCATAAGTGGATGATGCAGCCGATGTAAGACCAAACCCTCTGCAGGATGACCAGAAAGGTCAACAGGTAGAAGATGATTGTGACAACCTGGAGGAAAGATGTGCAAAGATGGAAAGGGCATCATTGGGAAGCGAAGGGAACAAAAAACATCCAGAAGTTTACATTTTTAACTGAAGCATGGCCGTTACACTCCAGGGTTTGAGGGAAACTGTCCTGCAACTTTGGAGAAGTAGCAATAATCTACTCTACAGATGAGGTAATTTATCATTTAATTCAGGCTATGGTGGAATAGGGATATGTGCAAACACCTGGGGACAGGAGATTTGACACCTTAATTTAGAACATAAAAATGATTTTAAGGGGACTAAAACATGGCTTAAAGTCCATTCCCTATAGAGAAAACACATTCAGTTTTGTCTTCAAGCCTTTTGAATTTCTGTTTGTTAGATGTTTGAGACGTTACCTCCAGATTCAGGTTTAAGATCTGACCTAGATGTGCTGAGAGGGGATTTCCTGACGGCTGTGGGGGTATATTAGCTGTTCTGAAATGCTATCCTTTGGCAGGGTTTCCCATTGAGTGGAAACTTCAGGGGCAACTCTTTGCTAACAGCAGCAAGCTCAGTCAGTGGCGGTCCTAGATCAGAATGAGCAGAGAGTTCAGGGTGGGGCCAGTCTTATTTCATTGAGATACAGAACAATGGAATGAAACAAACAAGAAAAAAAAAGAAATAGGGCAATAGTTTACTGTTTAATACATTAAGTAAGCCACAACGCCAAAGAGCCACTCTAGAGTTGCAAGTTATCCCTGATGTAGCAGATGAAAACTGCGATCCTATCTCAATATGGCTGCATTTAAAAGTGCAACACCTTAACTTTTAAATCACTGTTGAAGAAAAACAAAAATTTAACAAATTGACTGCTAAAGGGATCAGTTGGTTAAGGTTCCTGTGCCAGTGCATATCAATGTCAGAAGCTGAGTTAGTATTATGTCCTCAGCAAGGGGGCCATAACTTAGCCTCGTGAGACCATCCTGATCTCGCAAGCTTTCAAGGTTTCACTCGCAGATCAGTCTCCAGACTCTCCGTTAAAGAAAATTTGGAGCAATTCACCAAACGAACGTCCAATCAGCGTTGGCTTTGAGGCGGGTTGAGGTGTGAAGCAACGAGAAGCGCGACAGTTCAGTCTAAAGAACATGGCGGCTTCAGCCGATGAAACTAGCGTTAGCGTGGCTATCGAGCAAGTTTTATCGGAATTTCTTCACTGAAAGAAGAGCAAAACACTGCTCTGGAGGCTTTTCTCAGAGGAAAAGATGTTTTTGCTCTTCTCCCGACTGGTTTCGGCAAGAGTTTGATCTATTAATTGGCTTGTGCCTGGCTTGTGGTTGTGTTTTTTGTCGTCGCTCTGTTAGTACGTCATATGCTAGGTTAATCTGATTGGTTTATTTGGCCCGTCTATCACCAACATAGGCCATTCAGCTAACCAGTATCTTCGCCCCGTCCCAAAATTACTTCAACAGAAGGTTTCCAGATGGATATGCGGAGCAAATCCATCTGGTGGAGTCAGGTTAGCCATAACTGGGGCAAAGGCCAGTTTTACAGGGGCACTGGCCTCTTCTGGCCCCTGTTTAGAACCGGCCATGAGCCCTGTCCCCTTTGTCCTTTTTCCTGAAATTTGACCTTTTTTAAGGGACAAGAATTAGGGGACAAGAAACATTGTGATTCCAAGAGAAATTTTCCCTACTGCTACAAAATTAAAAAAGTCAATAACCACAGAAAAAAAGGATTTTATAAGTAACAGTCTTTCTTATTCCTTTTCATAAAAGCCACAGTGAAAGGGACAAGGAGCCACAAGTTTCCCTGGAGCTGCAGGGTGTGGGCCCCTGGACTATACAGGGGACTAAATACCTTCAGTTACCTTTGACCTGCTGCAAGTCGACAGCTGTCCAACGCTGTGTTTCTCATGGTGGTAACTGGGCCGCTTTAAGTGGTATACTGAGGACCTTTAAGCATCACTCATTTAAACAAGAAGGAAACTAAGATTCTTTCTAAAAAATATGGTTTATATGGCTTACAGCCCAGGGTGGCCCAATCCAGGGGCAAAGGTAGCACATGACTTTTTTTCCCAGCAACGTTATCCGTCAATCGCATCCTGAAAACATGTCATATTTATTTAAATGTTCTGTGAAGGAGGAGTTGGGAGTTCCTGAGTGTTGTCCACAGCCTTGTAGGAAATTATTTCTACTCACAGCAGCTAGACGAGCTTGTTATGTCATTTCAAACATCTAACTTAGCACTTTAGGAACAGTTTTTTCACTATTTTTCAACAAACTGCGAGGTTATTTCATCATCTCTATCTCAAAATCTGAAATGCTTCAGCTGGTCAGATCTGACCTGAAATAAGTACATACTGCAAGAGTGTTTTCAACTAGAACTGCAACATTTATTTGTTACCCAAATAAATATTACAGTCTAACATTTCATAGAGAAAAAGATCATTAGCAAACAAAAATATTTTGACAATGCTGATCAAAAGCCAGAGGTGGGTCAGATTCTACATGTTTCCCAATAGTAAACTATACATAAGAAGGAGAAAGGATCATGGAGTTGGTAAAACAAACAGACAGACAGACAGGATCAAAGACTAGAGGCAGCGGTAAAGCCTTACCTTCCACCCGCTCCCATTTTATAAAATGAAAAGGTTTTGGCTCAGAAAACAGCTAAGAAAGCAGAGATAACCTACCTGCTGTGTGCTCATCCCTTCCTGGTCCTTCCTGATGCTTTCCTCTTTAACAGGATGTGGCGCCTCAGTCATGCTTTGATTCTCCACCCTCTCTACTTCCTTCTCCACATTAACCTGACCTGATCCCACATCACCTGGATCTGGCTCATAAGTGTCCTGCTCTGAATTTTCTCCAGCAGCATCTACAGAACTAGTTACCGCTGGTCCAGTCGCTAAAGGCACATAGTCAGCTTCCAGTTCACATGGTAATGATTCCACTGTTGGGGAAATGCTTTCTAGAACTGAATCCTCAGCTGTTTTTTCCACTGCTTCCAGGTCCTGGATTGAAGTTTCTGGATTTTGTACTGGTTCTATGTTTTGGGCTGTGTGTCCTTTGGGTTCCTCTGGCTCTGGATTGACTTCCTGCCCTTCAGAAATGTCCTCTACAACTATTGGGGGAAAAAAGCAAACTATAATCAGATTTTCTTTGCCTAAAGAAAACTTTATTAAATAGTGAAAAACATATGAATTGGTACCAAAGCCTCCAGATTAGGGGGGCGAATTTATCATACCAGTGTTGTGATATATTTGTAGTCAGGATAATGAATTTTATCTATGCTTATTAGGGTTGGGTATTTTCGCCAAAGTCATGAATCGATTCGATTTTGATTCGTACATTTCTAAATCGATTATTTTGGTTCAATCTGTTTTTACAATAATGAAAGTGGTTCAACTGTGTTTTAAAATTCTCATGTATTTTATTTTTTTTTTCCTGTCACATTAAACACAAAGTGCAAACTTGTAAATCAGACAGTTTAAAATTGAGATGTGAACAAAACTGTCTCATAAGTGCAAACTTGTTTGTAAAAAGTGAAGCATCACTCGAGCAAGCAGAAGTGACACAGCGGGAACACAGCAGACATGCATGAGCTGCATTATCTCCACTGCACAAACCATATTTGCAACATTGTAACAACTACAGGGTGTTTGCTGGTCAGCCCCCATTTGTTAATGTCTTCAGTCAACCTATTGGCTATATTTGCAGCTGTCTAACTTGAATTAATCGTGAGTGCATCTTTCCTGCTCATTTGAACGTGAACGTCATACGCATCACTATAAAACTAATCGATCTCATTCCCTAGATATCGATTTCGCAAAAATGTAAAGGAATCGAATCAAAATCGATTAAATCGATATTTTTTCCCAGCCATAGTGCTTTATATATATATATATATATATATATATATATATTTCTTCCTTGAAGATGATGGGTCCCCACTATCCTTCCAGTATTTTAATAATGCGTTGGACAGTTCTTAACCCAATTTTAGTAGTTTCTGCAATCTCTGTAGATGTTTTCTCTACTTGATGCATGCCAATGATTTGACCCTTCTCAAACAGACTAACATCTTTTCCACTACCACGGGATGTGTCTTTTTCGACATGGTTGTTTAGGAAATGAGAAGCAAGTCATTGCACCACTTGGAGTTAAATAACTTGTTGCCAGTTGAAAGATGATCGCCCATGCAGTAATTATCCAATAGGAGGCTCGTACCTATTTGCTTAGTTGAATCCAGGTGGCAACTTTTTTTTTAGCCATGCAGTGTATATATGAAGACATCTAAGTACCGGTACTACCCCCAAAGAATAGTCTGTTTCTTATCCCACTAAATCTAAAGATTTCTGTCAAAATTAACACCAGTTCAAGTTTTTTTTTGTTTTTCTTACCTTTATCAAAGTCTATGCTCCTCAGCGCTCCTTCTTGTTCACTAAAATTAAACCTGTAGCACCTCAGATTTTCATAACCTGGTTTAAGTGTCTCTGTTGGACTGGAGCTGGTGGCTACAATCACTCTGCAGAGGAAGGGAAGCAGGGAAGAGGATATAAGTAAAGAAAGCAATATTGTATCAACAGGGAAAGGAATACTGTATAATGTGGGTGGGTGGGGGGGTTGGACTTGCGGCTAAGCTGCTTCTTTTATCTGTAAATACTTACTTTGAGATCAGCTCTTTGGAATTCTAAGGATGGGGTGACAAAAATGACAACGAGAGAAAATGTTAATTTTAATCATTTATTATGGCTTAATATGATAAGTTCTCAGAAACGTATTCAACTGACTATAAAGAAAAGATAAACAGACAAAGAACTCTGATGTAAATATTGGCGTGGAGGATCTGGTTCTGCTTATGAAGGTGTGACTCACCTGGACAAACTCAGCTATATCCAGCTCCTCCATGCTGCTCTCTGCAATTGCCAACAGCTTCCTGTTGGCCTCCATCCTGTCACCGTAGCAACGCATCAACATCTGGTTGTGGTTTATTTTCTCATCTTCTTCAGAGCTAATTTGTTGTGTCATAACCTTTAGGAAAGTGAGAAAAGAAACAAGAACCAAAGAAGAATGAAAATTTATTTCATTTGGTTTGAGCACAGTTTCACACTAAAGTATTGTGTTTTTTCTTAGATAAAGTTTATTAGGTTCTCAAACACTTTTACACAGAGGTAAAAGGTCAAATAAGGAGTCCCTGTCTGACACAGACACGTGAAATTATAGGCGGAGCTTAAGCAGAATTAGAACAGCTGCTGTGTTACGTCAAAGTCAAGCTTATCAGATAAATAGACAAACTCTGACCTTGCGTCTGTCCTCCAGGATGGAAAACATGCTGCTAAACTTGTCACACACATTCTGTTTCTGCGTCTTGTAGTTCTCCTGCAGAGGATTAGGAGAATATCAAAACACAAATCTGGAAAAAAAAAAAAAAAAGATCCTTTCATATAATCCAGAAACTGTGAAAGTCTGTTTTTCTATGAAACCCATAACTAATAAAACATGAACCCTCCGGACGACAGTCAACTCTGCATAAAGGTATATTTTTGTCAAGAATTATCGCTGAGACTCAGCATGAGTTTTGGTTATAATTATCCAGTGTTTTGATCTCCAGCAGCTATTATCTTTCCATGTTTAGAATATTGTTACCCTGCATATTAAAGCTTCGGACCGATTAAACATTTGTTCCTAGATAATGAAGTGAGAATGAGATCTAAAGAGCTGTCTGAGGTCCTCGGGAGAAAAAATATAGCAGCTTATGGGTTTAATAAAAGCTCTAAATATGTTATAAAGTAATTTTATAGTATAAAATTGGAGGCCATTTGAAATAATTGCCTATGTGTTCAAGTGTGGCCATCCAAGGAGGTTCACCTTGGAAGCAGACTGCAGGATGCTAAAAGAAGTCTCCTAAAAACATGGAGCCTTCTGCAGGCTACTGCTGTCGCTGATAGAAACGTCAATATCTGTGAAAAATCAATTCAATTCAGTTTATTTATATAGCGCCAATTCGCAACACATGTCATCTCAAGGCACTTTACAATTCAACCAAATCATACAGTGAAATTGATTCATAGTTATCTATCTAAGGAAAACCAGATGATTGCATCGACTCATTGACTAGAAGGCAATCCCTCACACTAATCAGAAAGAGGCTAAAGCTTAACTTTGGAGGAAGGTTTGCAAAAAGGAACCTGTTGTTCTTTGAGAAAAACATGACGGTTTTACAAGAAAGAAGATCGACAAAGACCGGTTTAAGATTAAGTTTTACTTTAGAGTTCCAAGAAAAAAAGAAGCATAAGAAGGAAAGCAGCTGAGAGGGGAAAGTTTCATGTTTTGCTGCAGTAAAATCTGGTCAGCTAACCAGCAAAAAATGAACTATACAGATAGTGGTCGAGGAAAACAGGAGACCGTGTGTAGATTAGTTGAAGTGAAAGCAGACCCAGCGTAGATGTTAAGTAAACAAAGACTGAGATAAGAGTTAGGAAATAGTCTGTTGAGGAATCAAAGCACAGATTTGATCTCATAAAAATAATGCAGAATGACTTGAAATGGGTAGAACACGTTAGAAACAGCTGGATGTAATAAGTGGGACTAATTTTCTCAAACTGGTGTCACAATTGGATAACATCTTCAAGAAGCAGCTTTATGGGGTTTTATCAAGCTAATAAGATAAGACAGGTACAGTTGCCTGTTTTCAACTATTAAAAATGCTTTTTCTATTGATGTGATTTATCAATAAAATACGTTTACATTTTGGTTTTACTTAATATGAGATCATTTCCTTATCTCATATTGAAGAACTCACCAAGTTAAGAATAAAAATCTGCCCTTTTAGAAACACATCAAAGAATCTGTTGGGTAGGGCTCAGTGTGTTTTATCCAAGGGAGGATGAAGAAGTAGGGGCTTGAAGATGGCGTAACGATTGTTAGGTTTATTCTTTATAAATCATGCGTGTCGTTACTCTGTTATTAGAGAGAGTAGAAGGCCTTCCTTCACATGGTGGATGTCACTGTGTGTACAGAGGTCATCTAATCAGGACAGCCTTCGTGTCTTTAAAAATACACAGGATATGGGCACATCTTGGAGCCGGACTGATAAAGGAAAGCTATCTGGCAAGATGCATGAAGTTCAAGACATGGATGGTGTGTCAGTTTCTGATACGGACGGCTAAGCATCCACCTGATGCAACACATAGACTCATGGGGTATAAGAAGGAGGAGATGACCTTGTTCGGGGCTCAATCTTTCGCTCGCTGACGTTATTTAACCCACAGTTGTGCCAACTCCAAGCAAATTCTCTGTCCTGTAACGACCTGACACGGAATAAAATCTGTTACCTTTTACTCCTGTTTTATGGTCCTTTTTTAGATGGTTCTACCCAGTTTGAGTTAAGAGTAGTAAATAACTTGCTTCCAGGAAAAGAACCGGAAGAGAAGTTCCGAGGCACAACCGCCTTTAGGGGGACCTAACTTCCATATTTAACATGTCGTTGCATCTCTGATCCACCCGGGGAGGAACTCAGAGAGCGTAGTGTGTTAAAGGTCTGAAGCGGAGAGAAAAGAGCTCCAATTAATCCAACAGAGAGATTTGCAGAAACTGGATTTTCCTATGAATGAACAAGCTGCCTCCAGCGCCAGGTTCTGGAAAACCAGGGAGATGTAAGTTGAGGTTTGTGTTTGCGGGTTTACCTCCTGAAGAGTCTGATTTTAAACCATCATACCTCAACAACTCGACAAGTCTCTTCTATTTCAGTGATGAGAGCCTGGACTCTGCCCCTGAATTCCACCAGAGAGGTGATTCCTTCACTCAGCTCATCCTAAAATACAGCAGAAATAGTTTTTTAGCCATATGAACCTTGATTTTAGGAAACCCACTTCTTCTTTATTATTATAGCCATCAAGAAATCGGAATTACCACATGTAAAATGAGAGTAAATAGGCTATCATCAATCACACACATGCAACACAGTGCATCAGTTCACCTTCTTTTGCTGGTGGACGTCTGCCAGAGGAGCCACCTGACAGGACTGATGGGCCCCAAATACTTTGCAGAGAGAACATGTTGGAAACTGGCAGGTAAGACAGTAGATGTTTAACTTTTCACCCTCGTGGTCAGAGCAGGTTGCTTCAGCAGGAGGAAGAGGAGGAGGAGGAGGAAGAGGGCTAGAGAGGAAGAAACAATTCTGTTTTAGTGTTGATTCAGTCCTTCTGACCTTGGATTCTTGGTTATCATGGTTCAGTCTCTCCACCTCGGTATTTGGTTGAGCTCCTCTTTGTAGATATCGATGATGTTCTCTACTAGCAGGTTTCTCTGGAGGCCGTAGACGCCATGGCGATCCAGCACCACGTCGTGTCTGCAGGTTGGACATCGGAAACGCCCGCTGTTCACGAGCATAGTGGTTCGAGCGTGGAACAGAGAGGGCTTCACATGGGAAAGAATAATAGGGAAATGCTCTGTAGGGTTACGGTTTAGTAGATGGGTTTATAAAGTTAATCCGTTAATCAAGTCATAATCATTCCTTAATATAAAAAAACAACCTTATATCATAATTTTTTTACTGTTTTTAATCCATGTCTTTTTATAAACAAAAAGTTATATACATTTTATATGTATGAGTATAGGTATTTTATCATACACCAATTCAAAATATGACACAATTGTGAGGCTAAGGGAAAGGGGCATCTGGCTTTCAAACTTTTTTCCACAAAAAGAACTAGCCTTAAAACAACAAATGGGACATAAAAAGGGTGAAAAGACCGAAAGCTAAAGATGAGCTGAGGCCTTCCATTCTAAACATACAGCACTAAACAGTGACATTCATAAATCCTCTCCATCCAATATGACTAATCTTGAGTTTTATGTAATATATGGAGAATATAACCTTGACTTAACTTGACTTGTGACTTAGGTTATTCTGGATTATATCTATACTAATGCTGCTATGGGGTTAGAATGCCGGAGGACAAACAGTGCCTTGCAAAAGCCCCCCTTGAACTTTTCAACCTTTTGCCACATTTCAGGCTTCTAAGATAAAGATATAAAATTGCAGTTTAGTTCAACCCCTATCTTTATGACTTTATGTTGTCTCTGATTTCTCTCTCCATAATAGTTTCACCTGGTTTATTTGGCTGTGATCAGCTGGACCACTGCTATCAACACCTAACATAAGAGATGATAGAGTTGGGCTTGTGTTTATTTATTTATTTTTTTAAGTGTTTAGTCCTGTTTCTCTCCTAGACACAGCTATGGTGTCAGCTTTTTACTGTGACTAACTGTATGTGCTCACTTTCATCTCTTTGACTTGAAAACTGGCTCAGAGCTCATCTTCTACTGTTTGTTTTTTTTCAGACCGAGCTTGTGGAGCTTGTTAGATTTTCTAGTAACATAGAAGTATTTCTGGACAGCGATAGTTTCAAGGTGTTACTCTATTGTATGTCTCGTACCATGTCTTTTGGTTGTGCTGTTCTTTTTACATCTCGTTGCAGGTGATGAAGCAGACTGAAAATGTTTTGTCATGATCTCCTATTTATCATTCTATATCCTATTTCTTTCATCTTTTCTCTTTTTTTTCTCCTTTCTTTTTTCTCTTCAGCTGGTTTTCATCTTCTGTTCTACCTACATTGCAGTGTCCATATAATCTGTAAAACTCCCTGCATAATTATAATAAAGCAATTTATATGCATTAAACAAGCGCAATACTATGGCAATACCCCTACTGCTCCACTTGTGAAAGTAAAATCTGTTGGGCTCTTTTTGGCATCAAGACAATTATTCTTATTGCCACATTGCCAGACAGGACACTGTAAAAAAAAAGAAGAAGTATTTCTGGACGAGTGCTTCTATGTTTGTTATTGCATGTCTAATTCTCCCTCTCCTTGAACCCCAGTTGGCCTCAGATGGACGCTCACCCTGAGCCTGGTTCTGCAGGTTGGTTATCCTGTTAAAAGGGAGTTTTTTTCTCTCCACCTTCGCTGCATGCTTGCTCCGTCTACTGTGAAGGATTGCTGTAGCGTTAATGACGAAATGTAAGTGAATATCTACTATTGCCACAAGCTCATCCAGGAGTGTGTCTTGCAAGTCAATGACTCCATGCAATCATTTTTTTTTTTATTATTAAGATTTTTTTTACCAATCTGACTGTATGATCTGATTGAAATATCTCTGTAAAAAGCCTTGAGATGACATGTGTTGTGAATTGGCCCCAACCTGAAATTGGAGTACTCTGTGTAAAGCTGATAGATGCACTGCAAAAGCCTTACAGCTGTAACTGCATGAAAAGGCACTTTTGGTACTGAAAAGAAATGCATGCTAAACTTTAAAGACTAATGAATATGAAAAAAAAAAATCTTGTATCGTTTTCCTGTCAAGTGAACTAAAATATAGAGAACTGTCAACAAGCTTAACTTTCAGAAACTATGAGGAGCTCTTTGATGAGCTGTAAACTGCTACATTTTTACTATTTGATAGACAATATTGCGTTGTAACAAACATGGAAATCCCCTCACAGTGAGAAGCAGCTTTAACTCTCAGGTCAAACAGTGAATCTGGGGCCATATTTGATCCCTATAACTCCAAGCAATTCACACATGAAGAAAAACCCTCACGGTGAGAACAATAGCAGCCAATATGGGTGACGGCAGCTGATTTTAAAGTCGCCAACATGTGCATACCAGTTAAACATCATCACGTCCCAGTTTAGACCCTGATAATCCACATACACACACAGACCTGCACATGTGTGCGCCTTGTTTGCAGCATGTGTGCCATGCAGCTCTGTATATTGAAGTTCAATGCACGCAATTTTTGTTTTACCAAACCACCTACAGATAATGAGAATAACATTAAATGTGGGTTTTGCACATAATGAGGCACACCTGATAGAGCTCGTTCGCACACTTTCTGCACAGGTTGTGCTGGCATGGCAGGATGACCACGGGCTTGTTGAAGATCTTCATGCAGATGGGACACATCAGCTGTTTCTCCAGCGATGCCAGCGCTGCGTCTCGCTCTGCTCCCTGGCTGCTCTTGAGGCAGCTCAAGTCTGCTGATAGAGACATGGCTGCAGCACTGGACTTCACCTCCTCCTGCTGAAACCAGGGAACGCAAAGTCTATTGCTTATGAACAAAAGCATCTAAATTGTTCTCCAGAGATAAAGAGTCAACCAAATTCAGTTTTCCCCCTATTGGCGTTGTTGATTTGCAGAAATTTTCTTGCTAAAGTATTCTTTACACAAAAACCCTCTGAGAATTATGAATGTATTCAGAAAGATCCATTGGGAATTACTTTTTTTGAGCATTGTTTGCAACAACAATGGAAAAGAAGAGCTGCTTAGAATTTAACTGGACAAAAAGATGAAAATGGGACAAACAGCAGCTTATTTGGCTGTCTAGATTTTTATTTTGCACCTTTGCTAAAAGTGTTGAACTTTCCAGTCCACTGTTAGAGCTGAAAATAGCCCAGCGTCACCTTAAGGTGAAGCTTAAAGGAGATCTTTTTTCTTCAGGTTAGTGGGTCATTCTTAGTCATGTTGCCGCTTGGAATAGATGGACCAAAGTTCAACGAGGGCAAATCTCAAAGTAAAACCAACCGAGAGCCTGACAGCAGAAACTAGCTGGATCCTTACCTTGATCCGGTTCTTCCTTCTACCTCCTTCTACCTCCTCCGACACTTGCTGCTTGTTCACGGTCTGTGCAGGGTCCACAACAGCAGTGGGAGAAGGAGGATGCATGTTGGGGGGACAGGGTTTAGACTGGTGTGGGTTGGAGGCGTCAGATTTCAGCCCAGCGCTGCTGAAATGATCCTGACACAAACACACACCCACCATATGAGGAGTCGGCTGGTATGTGGACAGATTAAGACCCTGCCACGCTGTCCTTCTTCTGTTACTCTCTAACGTCCTGCTAAATGTCGTAAATGATAGAAATCTTCTGATTTCAAATGAAATAGCTTATTGGACCCTTGCAAAAAGAGTCACAGGGAGAGTGCAGAAAAACACTGTGCTTCAAATCAATGCAGACATGATAAACAGATTTTTTTTCTCCACCGACTGCGTATCTCATGCTGATGATCAGCTTTTGGAGCAGACTCGGACGGATGGTGACCCGTTCTTAGAGACGATCAGTTTTAATAGTTTGTTTCACCACTTTCTATTTAAGAGCTGACCTGAGGTCAGCTGCTCCATCAAGCTGGAAAATGCAGAGATTACCAAAATGTGTGCTGGATTATTAAAAGTTGCCTTTTAAGTTGTTTTGATCCCACTATTATTTCCTGACAGTATGGATGGATATAACCTTAGTTTATCCCGATTCTATAATAAACATGATTTTGATGATGTACCCATAAAACCAAAATCATTGTCACTTTAATTTTTCCCCACAATTAGTTTCAAAAGGGCAGTCCTATTTTTAAACTGTGATAAAGATAAAATGCAGTACTTAAAGGCACCAATACTTTTTTTTAACCTTTATTTTACCAGGAAGTCCCTTGAGATAAAATCTCTTTTTCAAGGGAGACCTGGCCAAGAGGCAGCAGTACAGTAAGACATATAAAAACATATCATAAACTAGACTCTACTTTAAAGATGTTCTTTATTTTTGGCTAAATTATATTCGTATTTGAATATATTCGTGAACCTTTGACCACTTAGTAAAAGAAAAGTATTCAATAACTTTTAAATTCCAACAAAATATTAAACTTTTAAGTTGTTCCCCATCACTATAGCTATGTCCTATTGGGCTGTTCTCCTAACATCCTGCAAAGCAAACTCTGCACTGGTGGCAAAGTGATTCTGCAGACCTTCTATTTAGGTTAACATCTCTGCTTGAGCTTTATCCAGAAAACAGCTCCTTCAATTGTATTATATTTTGCTGTAGTTCCCTGTGTGCAAAGAGGCGATTGCTCTTTGCTCATCTTTGTCTCCTCTAATATAGACTGATAAAACTGACTTGACTTGATATTGACTACACCATCATTAAAAAAACAACACAGTGAGAGATTAAGCTGTGAAGCATCAGAACTGTTTATTTTCCAACAGAACATTGGACACTTCAAGTATTTTCCCAACCCCACACACACATATCTCTTTGCCCGACAGGTAGAAACACAAGCCCATGCTAAAAACAGGAAAATCTGCACCTATCTACAGGTTGCACTGCGTGTATATATACAGCACATCGAAAACCCTAAACATCCCCTTCAAACATTAGCTAAATTTAAACATTACAGAGACGGGTCAAAAAAATAAAATAAAGCAAAAACATTACATAATGCTGCTGGATTGTTGTCATACTGCTAATATATTCAAACATCCCTTCCTGTTGTGCCTGTGCATTTTTTGAGGCGTCAGGATTCAAGCCGGTTTCACTCAAAAGGAGGAGATAAATCGAGCAAAATGTTTGGTTAAATGCATCAGAATGAGCATTAAAACCTGCAGATTCTTGGAAACGCAGAACTAAACATGGGATGATTTAGCAGCTCCTTATTGCACTCCCTTATGATATGCAGAAATACGTAATGAATATGTTATGGAGTGGGCCTGGTTCACTAAGTCTTTAGAAACAGCCAATTGACTCCCCTGTTTATATGGGAGAAAAACAAAAACAAAAAAAATAATTAAGAGATCGATTGTTGTAAATCGCTTCTCTACAAAAGCAACACAATTAAATAAGACTTTGGACATCAGTAATTTCCCTTCCTGAACAACAGAAACATGGAAACAAACAAGGAGAAAACAAACACAGATGCCGTCATTAAGACAAAAAAGACTTGCAGTCAAATCTACATTAACTTTACACAACATTTACAGTGTTTTCACAAAACAAATCAAAAACTACAAAAAAAAAAAAAAATCCAAAAGTAGGAGTTCATCTGTGTATAAATGAATACCTGTGATGGCAACGGGGCGCTGCTTACTGTTCTAAAACTATACAATAATAAAGAGACCGTCTCGGTCTTTGCTTTGAATACTGATGTCTGAACAAGCCTTCAGATGGAGAACGAGGAAATAATTTCAGCTTCAAAACAAAGAAATGGAGTAGGAGGAGCGAGAGGGAGAGAACGCGACACCGACCGCTGGAGCAGCCAAATTCTGCATACATGTGGCGTTAAACCCAGACATCACCAGAATGCCCTCATCCTGTGACGGCCATATTGGATTTAAACACGCTGACCAAATAAAGGTTATTTTCACTCCTAACTTTAGTGTTTAAACTCCTAAAGGGGCAAAAGGGGCACCAATACTGGTCTACCAGAACCACACGAATGAATGGGTAAAACTCAACAGCCTAAAGCAGCTGAATGGATTGATAGCGAGAGCCAGTAGGTGGAAATGACTGCTGGATAAAAGAAATTAAAAAGATGCTGGGGTTCTCACATTTATGTTAGATCTCAAACATCTTGGACAGGTAATGGGACAGTTCAATCTGTCCCCTCCCTCGTGATTCAACCTAAAAACAATCCACTGGACTTTGTTTCCAAATTTAAAGACGTTTCGCTTCCCATCCATGGACCCGAAAGTGAAGCGAAACATCTTCAAACTTGGAAACAAAGTCCAGTAAATTGTTTTAAAGAGTTTTTTTAATGCCTATGAGCTGGATGACTGAAAATCTTCACTCCCTGGCAATAGAAGCGCGGTCCGAATGGCTCCAAAAAAAGAACCGAGCTGGGATGAGAAAGATCATATTCTTGCATAAAGATGAAAGCAGCTTCAAATAAGTTTCTGCAGCCTGGGTTCTAATGCATGATTTATCCAAATGCAATCAGGGATGCTGACTTTTTAACAAGCAGACGGCCTACTCGGGATCATAAAATCACTAATGAAAACTAGGGAGGCTTTCACTGTGTGAGGAAAGCGTAAAAATACAGCAGAGAACGACAGTAAGGCTGTGGCTTTAGCTCAACATAAAGGTTCTGATGCATGGAGCAGGAAGCCGGATACAGAGTTTGGCGGAGCAGTGTTCTCGTCTGAACATAAATATTAAACTAAAGTCAAAATGGAAGTCATTACAAAATTGCTGATATCTGAAAAAAGAACAGGTACTGAGAGCTAAAGCAGAGATACCCTACAGTACCGTCTGATGTGCACAACAGCAGTTATTAGTAAGGATGTAAATATTAGCAGAAAAACTTTTATCCAACATGGCCGCTATAGGAAGTGAAAAGCTGTAAGATGATGTTGACAGTTTCAGCTGGGTTTAATCCTCATTCATTTTGGAAGACTGCTGACGAAAAAGGTCGATAAAGGGGAGAGAAAATCTGATTCATAATGGCACCTGGTTCTAAAATCTGAAGGGAACTCGTCATCACGAACGGCATAATGCATCAATCTATAACAATCCACATTTAAAAGAGCAATTAAATGATGAATGAGCATGTTTATGAAATCAAAAGGATATAAAACTCATTTTTTTACAGCTTCAGGAAGCACAATCTCGACTGAAGGGTTTGACACATCTTCAAAGTAATGCTGGTGATCATACAGACAATTGCAACAGGAAATTATCCATCAATATAATAGGCTGGAACCATCATACATCCAAGGAGAAAAACTACAGTTTTATTTCACAATTTTTCAAATAAAACTGTTAAAAGTTATTGCATAAATCATTAGTTAAATCTCTTATCGTCTCCAATATATATATTAAAAAAAAAACATTTTAGTAAAAGTGGTTTTATTTGGAGGGTTACAGGGACGAGCTTCCTCTAGCTGGTAACATCAGCACCCGTGGAATAAATAATCCAAAAACACAACCAGATAAAGTGGGAATAATCTAGTAAAATTATACATTTTTTGTATATCTCCCTTTCTTCTCCCTCTAGGCTTCTTCCTGTCCGTTCAGCTAATTTCAAACATATAATTTAAGAAAAGAAACTAAAAAAAAAAACCTAAAACCTAATGTCCTATTTTTATTCAATTCATCTGCAGGCTGAGGGTGAGATTGAAAAAAAGGGACAAGCTGGAAAAATGTCTGATGTAAATGTGAATGCAACGTATGCATCAGTCCACCTGGTTCAGGGGTGTGTGTGTGTGTGTTTGAGAGTGCTGCTGACAGACTAAACAGCTGTTAGGGCTGGGAAGGATTATTGGAGATGCATAAAAACCCGTTTTGTTTTGACACACCTTTCTCCATCCCTCTGTGCCACGTTTGAATACATCTTAGTACATTAACACATCTTTATAGCCAGTAAATTCATTTATCAGACCATGTTCCGCCCAAAGATTGGTTAAAAACAGAGCGGCTGAAATGCAGCAAACTAAAGCTGGATTTCCACCAAAATGCTTACATTTTAGGTTCTAGATGTTCGACAGATTGCTGAATCGGGATTAAATAATTTAAAGTCATATTTACACATTTTTCTAAAGCCTTAATGTTCCTGTACACAATTAAATGTTAAAAACCCATGTTCTCTCTGTGGAAAGAATATAGAAAGAGGTGCCCTTCTGTTTTTTGAGGTCTACATTTGTACCTTTTAGCACTAGTTTTTGATTAAATTTCAGCATTTAGTGTTTTCATTAAAAATCTGGAGCAAATTTCAGCTGAAATCATACATTTCAGGCTGTAAGTATTTAAAAAAAAGTATGTTTGGCACGATAAACACTGCATATTACAGGGAACCTTGGTGATGGCAGCATCATGCTGTGGGATTTCTGCTCATTATTTGCAACTGGAGAGTTTTTTAAGACAGTGGAAGCTGTAAACAGAAGAGATTCCAATTCAAATAGAGTCAGCTAGAACACTAAAGCTGAACAGGGACGTTTTTAGCCAAAAATCCTGGAAGGTCACCAGAAAAGGGCTTTAAGCAAGACATATCTTTAACTTATTGAGGATTCAAGATAGAGGTGGCAAGTATTCCCAGTAAGATGTGGGATGCTGGTAGAGTTTTTTTGGGGAAGAATGCTGACATTGAATCAAAACATGTCTCAGGTAATATGTGTGCAAAAGTCTGTAACCGGATTTGTAATTTCAGTAGCACAACATACAGGACTGTTAAAGTGGGTAATGTTTTGGAATAATTCATAAATCTTATTCTATGTTAGAAAAAAAGATAATTGGACTCAGTCAGCTGCTGACACTGACCCACAGAGAGAATAAACAGACAGACAGGCTACTCTCTCGGTTCTGGAAGACGTGCTACGACTGGTTCCTGTGACATGTGGGTTAAGTTATTGCTCTAAATCTAATGCATCCACCTGTAATAATCCTCTTTAAGTCGTGTTTGTCTAAATTATTCAGGATAAACTAAAGTGGATGTACCTCTCAGCCCTAGCAGCCTCTTCTTGCCTTGTGAGGTGTGTGTGTGTGTTTCTGTAAGCGTGTCTAGTATGAGTCGGTCTTGTAGCTGTGATGTGCATCAGAGGTGAGCTGGGTAGTTTCTGTGGCTGATGACGGCTGAACCATGATGGGATCGCTGCCATCTGGGGAGGAGACACACAAGAAAACATGAATATTTTGAAAAAAATCTGAGCATTTTAAATTTTTTACAGCACTAGTGGTTTGTTTTTTCTACAGTAGGCTGACAGGAAAGGGGGTATGAGAGAGGGGGAGAGACATACGGCGAAGGACTACAGGCCGGATTCGAACCCAAGACGGCCGCGTGAGGACTAAAGCCTCCGTACATGGGTCGTGCGCGCTAACCCCTTCACCAACGCCCTGGATTGATTTTGAACCAGACACATCTAAAGGGCAGATTATGCTTCTGAAACCGCACACATCAAATGTCGCTTGGGTCTGGTTGCCAACAAGTTTTGCTGGTACACTTCTGCACAGTCGGTCTGGAATTTCTAGTAGTCAGGATTTTTTTGAGGTGCGTGACCTAGGGTTATCAAAAGCATCGATACTGAAAAGTTGTATCCGGATACAATACTCATTTCCAAAAGTATCGATACAGTGCTACCACCAGTGGCACCTAAACAGTCATTCATCTTATGCGCAAATTAGAGGAATGTGCACTTTCTGAACACTGTGTGATTGAATAATTCTGTGCACTTTTCGGTTTCAGACATTTTTCTGTAACAGGTGCAGCTGCTGAGAATTATTTTTGTTTTTTAACTGGTTTGGCTAGTGTCGTTTTTATGTATGTAAAGCATAGCCAAGGAAGGAACACTTAATTTTAATTTTGTAAGTTTTTTTATCAAGCTTGCTTAATATTGTGCACAGCATACAACCGCAAAATATTGTTTATTGTATTTATCTATTTATTGTATTTTGTTTATTAATGAAAACATTTCTGTTGAATTTTGGAGTCTTTGTTTTTATCCTTGTGGTATCGAAAATGACATCGAGTATCGAATATTTTACTTAGTATCGGTATTGAGTTGAAAAGTTAAGTATCGTGACAACCCTAGTGTGACCACGCCCGCTGCACAGAGGTTCTGCAACCGTCGTCGCACAGAGACCGATTTGACGGTTGCAGAGGCTATATGTCAGAAGCATAAATTGGCTTTAAGGCTATGTTCATGCTGTATATCAAATAATTTCACTGTCATAGCCTCTGTATTTTTTTTTTTTTATGTTTTTAAATGTCTTTATAATTATTATTTTTTCTGACACTTTTTATGCTTTTGTACGGTGACCTTGAGTGTCCAGAAAGGCGCCTTTTTAAATAAAATGTATTATTATTATTATATCTGGCTTTTCAAGGAGGCCTGAACAGCCAAATATTAACCTGTTCACATAGGAAGAAAATCCATAATATGTGGAGCTAAAACAGATACGCATTTATTAGTATTCCAAGCGCCTGAAGTCTGAACTGTCATGTCGCATTTAATGCAATGTTGATAACATTGATCTGGATCTCTCAAACGTCTCTACAGCAGCAGCAATCACTGCTCTACTAAACAGCACACTTTTGTTCTTACCTTCATAATTATTTTGTTGGTCACTATATTGTCGGTTTCTATTGCTAAACAGCTTAATATTGAGACAGAGACACTGGTATCCGTTATTAATGCCATACATGGTGCGCTCTTGTTATGTTTTGCAGATGCAGAACATAAGCGTGCTTTGGGGTCAAAAACACCACATGTCTGATGTTGGTTGGATATGAATATTAGAATGAACAATGGAGCAGGAATAATCAGATTTAAGCCAAAAATACGAATTGAGCCTGAAGACCCTCAGAGTGAATGCAGCCTAAATGTTGCAGGTCATCAGGTGTGGAGGACTACATCACTGTGAGCTGGATATTTAATGAACTCCCAAACTTTAAACAGAGAACGTGCAAAAACAGTGAAAGGGATCAAAAGGCCTACTGGTTCTAGAAAAGTTTAGATATGATTTAAAAAAAAAAAAAAGGGGTAAATCCAGCTGGAAGATCCACAGAAAGCAAGGCTTATTCTCCTTCTTCCTCTAAGGTCTTTCAGGTTTGAGGGCAACATTCTGGCATTTTCCTTGTCTGTTTTCTAACATCCAAACAGAAGTGAACTATTATTAATTGGGTTGGACTCAGACGACTTTTCCAAAATTATTTACTAGGTTTGCTGTGGGAAGAAAAGAAAACTCTACTTTCTCACTGAAATAAAAACAAAACACTCATCTTTTTTAGTTTGATGTTATTGTTTATATGTTATGCTGCTTATTTTGGTTACTATCTTAAAAAGCATGCATTTAATCTCAGTGTTAATTTGCCTTATTGAGTAAAGACAAACCTTCAAAGTTCTTAACTTCTGTTTCCTAACTCGATTAGGATGTAAAAAAAACTAAGTAACCAAAAAAAGCAAAGAGGTTCAACTTTTTTAAAGACCAAGGTGTTATAATCTACATATGAATCTTGAAAATGGATATTTTCCAAAGCAGCTATCATTTTAGTTTTTCCTCTTAGTGCGTTTTATCCTGTGTGTCCTTGAACTCACCTCTTTCCTCAGCAGTCATCTGGGCTTCCAGGTCCTCGGGGGACACGTAGAATTCAGGGTCCCCGTCCATCGGCGGCCGAGGTTTACATTTACCACAGCAGCAGTTACAGCAGCAGCACAGGCAACAGCAGCAGTAGCAACCTGTCGCCAGGCAGCAGAAGGCGAACAAAGCCTGTGGGGGTAAAGGTCAAGCAAGCACAAAATGAGACCTGAGGGAACATTTCCAACAACAAAGTTCTTTCAACAGCAGAGGAAGAGCTGAACAACATAACAAATAACTGCATCTTTCATGTTGTCAAAAAATAAAAATCTGCAATATACGGTAGGATATTATAATAATAAAGATATCTATGTAAATTTATGATGCCTTTACAGGATATAAAATCTGTCAGTTTTATATATATATATGTAAACCAACTTCAAACAGCTTGAAATTGTAGATCAAAAACTGGATGACAGTGAGCAACCAGATGTACCTTGGCCCACCAGCTGGACAAAACAAAGTAGGTGTTGACGTTCTCCTCTCCGAACTGCTCGGCCACATAGAGACCCAAGGATCCGTACTTGTCGTAGATGTTCTTCTTGGTGGGGTCCACCAGGATGGAGTGAGCATTGTTTATTTCTTTAAACTTTTCAGCTGCGTCCGGGTTATCTGGGTTTTTGTCTGGGTGAAACTTCAGCGCCAGTTTTCTGTCAGATGAAAGAGAAAATGGAAAAAACAAAAACACATAAGATTTCTGATTCAAACCAACAGTGGTTGGGAGGGTGAGACAGAATGCTATAAGACAGTTTAAAGATGGATTATATTACATTTCAACTACAGTCTTCCCACCCATCCTTGGGGAATTTACCATCTCCATGCAGCGCTCTGGACCTTTTGCTAAAGCTGTGTTAGCTCTGCGCTCATGGCAGGTAGCATCTCCCTCAGGAGGAGGTAGACCTGGAGCTTCTTGGAGATCCCAAAATCCTCTTCACAGGAGCTTAAAGTTCTTGATTACTTATTGTTCTTTCAGCTACTAAGCAGGAGTTTTTATCATACGAGGCCAATTTGATGCAAAATAACGCCTGCATGCTTTTCTGTAGGAACTCCTGCTCCTCTTCGAGAGCATCCACCTTCTGCTTTGATTAATTGAGTTTTGATATCACTGAAACTAATACAGTTCTTTGCATTTAATGGGCATCTCTGTGATATCTTAAGCTTTAAGTGAGTTTGAAGGACCACTGCATATGAGAATAATTTCCCTGTTTGCAAAAATCGGGAATATCCACCATCTTCTCCTAATCATAGTGCTTCTTAAGAAAAGTTGTCTAGAAGGGAAATAAGGTTGCATAAAAGGTGTTTGGAATCATTTCAGACTAGAAGGACTCCCCTGGATTATTGATTGTTTTACTGATCAAGACCAGAGCAATTTCAAAAAGGCATGAACTGACATTTTTGCCTTTCAGATGTTAGATTACTATGTTAATCAGCCAATGAGAGGGAGAGGCATAATGAAAAATATGTTTCATCAAACAATAACAAACTAGAGTTGATCTTTTAGAGCTCCCTAGAACTGTCTGAGCAGTTTTTACAGGTCTTTACCCCCCTCTAGTGGTGGAAAGGATTAAAACAGATGGATTTCCTCCTGCTAGACTTAGACTTGACTTTATTAATCCCTTGGGATTACTCCCTTCGGGAAATTATAGTAGGTTTGATTCAATCCCTGCCATTTAAATCACTACACACCTGTAACATTTCTTTATGTCCTCTGTTGTGGCATTCTTGTCGACTCCGAGCACAGCATACAGTGATTCTCCTGAAGTGGACAGCGTTCTCTGCCGCTGATGGTCCATGGCTGCTCTGTTACTCTCTTCTTCCCTTCTCCTACTGGCTCCTCTTCTCACTCAGCTTTTCCTTTAAACAGAAGAAAAGGGGAACAATGAACAATGGAACTCTGCTCGTATACAGGTTGGACTTTATTAATGAATAAACAGACAAAATAAACCAAAAATGTGCGACACGCAGCAGTTCAAGGCGAATAGGGTGATTCAAGGATTCTAAACGTCTTATTTAAGAGAGAGAACTCCTACATATGAACCTACAGCAGGTTTTACAACCCATAGATTTCAATAGCTCACAATAAAAGGGGCATTAGATGGCATGAACCTTAATGGAGGTTAGACTCTTTTAGTTTCACGAATTATACTGATCATTAGCCCTAATTACTTCTGGCTGGCAATTAGCAGGGGAATAAAAATGTATTTCTTTTTCTTTTTCATTATTTTACTAAGAGTTAAACAAACATGTCTGTAAACACATCAAGAAGCCTGTTTGACGCAGTTTCCTGTTATTTAGTCAGATATGTTCAGAACAAAGGTTTGGATTTATGGCTGTAGCCATTAGATTTACAGATATGACAGAATGGCCCCATACTGATGTATTTTAATATAACATTTATGGCCAATAACCAACATTATCTACAGTTCTCTAGCCTTTAAACACTGTGAAAAATAACCACAGTTCTCATTTTGCTTCTCTTTTTAAGTTAAAAACCCACAAATCCTGTGCTGCATCACCATCACAAGACCAAAGCAAAAATCATGGGGCTAACCTCTTCCACATGAATGCATATCCAAACTGCAACCAAAAGGAAAAAAAAAACATCACTTTACCACATGAGATCAGTTTTACTGATGGAGCCGATACCAATGATGCAGATGTATAGATATTCCTTAGTGGCAATGCTTCAGAACTATTGTGCTCCCAAAAAAATGTCACACCCCGAATATTTAAAAACAAATGAGTGCTTTGACTGCAGTGTTAACTGGCTTTAATTATTCAACTGAATGCCATGAAAAATCATAAATAGATAAACAAATCCAGTCATGAATACTGTTGTTCTCCAAAAGAAGCCCAAAGTCCCAAAAGCCCATGGCTCCCCCAAGAATTCAACATCAAGCCAAAATATCTAAATATTAAAAAAGAATCTAAATTGAGAACCTTAAAGATGGGGTGACAAGTTTAAGAGCACTCTGCTTACTTTATTTACCATCAATTATAGAGTCTTCAGATACTAATGTTTAAAAATAAAGCATTTTTTTGCGGGTTCTGTTTTTTTGCCCATACCAAGCGTTTGATGCCACTCTGGGACATTGGCTAGCCAAAATGTCTGGTATACACACTGAAAAGGAAAGCGATAAGTGACGAAATACTTATGAATCATCGTCAAGGTACAAGTTTTCAACGGATGCCAAACAGAATCCAGTCGACGAACAGGTTCTGCAGCTGCTGCCCTATATGTTTGCACCTAACAAATCATCGGAGGAGGAAAAGGAAGGGAAGATGGAGTCAATTGGGATGAATAGGAGACGAGAATAAGATGATGACTGAATATCTACTGACTTTAAAAATGAGTGTGAAGAGTGTGAAGTGTTAGAATGGTATGTTTTCAACCACTAAGAGAGGTCTAAGTGACTTATTTAAGCTTTTAAACCTGACAGGGCCCAACATGGCTCAGCTGACATACTGTATGCGCATCTTGAGCTATTTATAGATACCAGTGTAGCTTTGCTAGGTATCTATTGCTAATAATAACCATAATAATAATGTATGAACCAAACAGTTGTGGATCTTCATACTTTAGATCTCACATGGCAAAAATAATGAAAAACATTATTCAACAACAATGTACAGTAGGGTTATTCTGCACAATGTCATTCCATAACCCTAGAGCGAGTCACACCAGTTGCACTGAATGCAGTAGAGAGGCTTCTTCTACACAGGGTGAATAGATCCAGATCTATGCAGATTTATTTATTTATTTATTTTTTTTACTTCTGTCCCAATGCCCCAAAAATTGGAGCAATATCCTGCATCTTACTGGGTCAGATTATAAAAACTTTTTACTTAACAAAAAAAAAAAGTATGAAAGAAAAAAAACAGCCATCAATACTTTAAAGCCATGCCTAACTTCATTACCAGTAGGCTTGTCCCGATCCGATCCACGTATCGGATCGGACGCCGATATTGGCAAAAAAATGTGTATCGGCAAAGCATGTAAAATGCTGATCCAGAGTGCCGATCCAGTTTAAAAAAAAAAAATCCGGTCCGTATTTTCCACTTTCGCCGATTGAAACGATCCATTCCACTATTTTGCGCCAGTGTTCCCCTGTTTTGCATTTTTATTAAAACTTACAGTAATACTTGCACCTTTAACTGTTTATGGTTTTACTGTTCACTGTGCAATTTCAGATTGCTATTCATAATTTTGTCCAGTTTGTGTTTATCTCTTAATAAACAGGTGAGTTTGTTGTTACCAAGCATTGTGTTTTATTCAATCTCACCTAATTCAGCTGGCTAGATGTTATCAAGAGTACTAAAACCCTTTTCAACATGAGTCTTACAACTAAGGCTAAATACTTTAACTTAAACTTAAATACATGCTCGGATAGGCTGGTATCGGCCAGTATCGGTATCGGATCGGAAGTCCAAAAACAATATCGGTATCGGATCGGAAGTGCAAAAACCTGGATCGGGACATCTCTAATTACCAGTCTGCTCCAGTATGCTCAAACGGAAACAGACAGAGAATTTTAATAGATTAAAGAATGTTTAAAAAGAAAATGCAGCAATAAAGGCCGAGTTTAAACAGATAGGCGACAGAGGTGATTTTCAGACAGCGATCTGGGGAGAATGATAAACCTTAGGGGTGTAAATAATAATCGTTTTGTATCGATGCATTGATCCAACAGCTGACGATCCGATGCATCGATACGTCCGCAAGAGTATCGATTCATGTATTTTTTTCCCCCTGCGGTCTATTTTTATCCATTTGCTCCTGGGCGTAATTCTCCTCCCGTGCTGCGGTGGCGCTAAACCTATTTTGCCCTCCTATCGCGTTTCCTGGTTATACTCTTACAGCAGTTTGTTGCAGTGAGCTTGACACAGACATTTTTGATTTATGCCCAATATTGAAGCGTGGTCTGCGCTATAAGCTGTGAGTCTAGATACGGCCGAGGTGGAGAGGAAGTGGGGGCGAGTTTGGTCCGACAACGGAGGGAGATGAGGGCCAAAAAGAGCGAAGATCCAGGTGAAAAAAGGGTCCCAGCATTCTAACGCACATCGCTCTTCTAGCGGATCAAACTTCACGAGTTGTTTTCCGCAATTTCGGACATAAAAACAAAACAAGCCGGCCTCTTGTCTGCGACAGTTTGCATTTAGCTACAATTTGGGAGAGGTGCAGCGGCGCGTCTGAGGAGGGGGCGGGACGTCTGGAGCCGAGGTATTGAGTTGCACTCACTGTGCTGATTTTGTGCAGTATTTTTTGATGCAAAGCCTTTCAGAATCTATAACGCAGGGATATTATTATTTTTCTGTGAATTACATTTTAATAGGAATAGGTGGAGTACAACTTTTCTACTTCTGTTATTTGCGGTTGTTTCTCAAATAAAATGCATAACGATATTACAGCTTTCATTGATTTATTTCAAATTTGAAACATTGTCTAGCCTGTAAGATAAAAAAAAAAAATCAACCAATGAATCCAATCGAATCATATCATGGTGTATTCTTGAGTATCGAAAATAATCGAATCGTTGGGTCAGGAAATCGATACTGAATCGAGTCGCCATGATGGATGTGATTTATACCCCTAATAAACCTACTTTATCTGCTTAAAAAAAAAAATTAAAGCTCTGTTTTAAAACTTGATGTTACAAACAGCTGCGTCACAGATGTGAATAGTAGCATTATCACAGGCCTTCCTCCCAGCTGCTGTTTCACTTTATAACCATCACTTCTCAAATACTTTAAATATAATTTTGCCATTGTATACTTTTTTCCTTTTTGGAGTGCGTTTTTTTTTTTATGATACGCTTTTCTTTTCTATGTTTTTTCTTTAGTAGTTTCACCTACTTCAAAATCTCCTATTATAATTTTTATTAACCCTAATGTATATCTGCATGCTTCTGCCAGCCTTCCACGATAGATGAAGAACAATAGATTAAGAAATATGGCAAGAAATGGTAAACGGCCTGCACTCAGGAGACCTGAACAAAGCGTTTTACATTACATTCAGTCGTTCACCCATTCATGCACACACTCACACACTGATACACATAACAGCTCTACTAGACCATTAGGGTAATTAGCCTTAAAAAAGTGCTCAATCAACTTATTTCAGAATGTAAGGGAAGTGAAGTTTATCTACAGATTGTACATGTTAAAATGTACTTTCATTAAATACAGTGTTTTCGAGTTTGTGAATAAGCCCTGATTAAGGGAATTATTTTTGTCAAGAACAAGTTCCTACACAGGATGTTCCTAATTCCAAGCAACAGATTAATTCAGGCCCCGTCCACACGAAGCCAAAACGAACACGAAACGCTGATATTTTCCAAAAC